GACCGTTGCCTATAGACCTACCTTTAATCACGGAGGAGAGGATGCACAGAAAGAAAATATTTTCCCTTTCCATGCATCCTCTCATCCGGAAAGACCACTTCCAATTCCCATCCTTTCCTTATAAGAAAAAGGGTGGGAGGGGAAAGAGGACTAAATTAGGCCTCCGCACGCTCATCAGACTGCACGCGGAATTGCTTCCACTTCAGTCGTGTCTTCTGTGTGGTCGTGGTATTTCACCGGGCGAGACGGGCCTATTCGTGCGATGATGTTAAAGCGGGCTCTACCACTGTTAAAATAGTATAATATTAGTAAGATTTATACTACTATGTGAAATGTAAGAACTAACTTTGTATCTAGATGTTTCTATATTTTATTACTTTATTTATCTAATTGCCTACTCGACCTTTTTACGTCATAATATATTTATATTAATAAGTATTATGTACTTCGTTCAACGTAATAAGTAATTAATATGTTCAATCATATAACCATTAAATTATGGATTATAACACTGTTGTACTTGTTTATGTTCTAGAACTATGATTTTACTTAAATAATATTGCGTATTTATTTGATTTTATGTACATAATAGTTTTTAGGGTTTCGTACCTCATCGGAAAAACGTAACCCTTTGTCGTCCGTACGTCTGTCTGTCAAGACCCTTTTTAGCTATATATTAGTTGTTTCATACGTATATGTCAGAAAACTGTTTTTATATTTATTTATAACTAACACTTGCCTGTGACTTTGACCGCGTGGAATTAAAACAAAAATCTAGTAGTAAAAATAATCTATGTCACCCCGGGGATAGTTTAGCTTCTTAACAGTGAAATATTTTTAATCTTGTTTTGGGTTTCGGAGCCTATTCATTACAAACAAAGGATTAAATCTTTCTGTTTATAAATTTCATTTTATGTATTTTTCTGATTCCACAGTTTGAAAAAGACGCCGCGTAACTGTCGCACTGCCCGTGTGGCAAATTAATTATACTAATTTAGTATTAGAATTGAGTTGCAAGCTTTTTGTTCACTATCTTATCAGGCAGCTTGGCAAGTTTGACGAAAACGTCGGTTTATCTACTGAGATAAATACATTTCCCGTGTACAGTATGTGATAAAGGGTAGTTTACACTGTCGGAAACATTCCTACAAAAATTAATCTCAAGTTTATTTTTAAATCATAAGTACTAATATTAAATGCGAAAGTTTGGATAAATGGATACTTTTTACTGTATCTCCAAAACGGCTTTGCTGATCTCAATAAAATTTGGCAATTTGGTTTGTCTGAAAAAAGAAACAAAGGCTACTTATAGATAATAAGTATTTTTATAATTCCGCGCCGACGAAGTCGCAGGCAAAAGCTAGTAGATAAGTATGTTTATGGCAAGTGCATGTAATTACGTGTGTACCCACCCTTATGTCTATTAAGTACTAGTTGTATAGAATCTCTTGGTTAATATGTTATGTTTTAATATTTAATTATCTTTTACACGTAAAGTTCTTTTGTTACGTTCTTTATTTCGGATCTAAACATTAAAATGACAGTATATCTGTATTTTTAGGAAGAAAATCCGAAAATGTGACCTTGTATTGACCCAACACGAGTCTTACTAAAATGTCGACGATTGCGTCCCCTCACTATTCATTCTGACACTGGACTTTGTAACGAAAGCACGTCATTCGCGCCAAAGGATTCTAATTATGTCTAAAAGTATGTACACTATAGAACATGAATAATAATGTTAGTGCTTTAGATAGCTTCATTTTTTTCGTCTAACCTAATTCTCCTTTTAACGTAAAATTTACAGTTATCAATAATGTTTTATTATTTTAATAATGTAGGCGTAATTAATTAAGGACGCATATCAATATGAAGCACTATCATAAACCTGTTTTATATCTAACTGGTTCATTTTATCCGTTATTACATTCAAACTTGTATTGTTTAATTTTTCTAATAATTTTTTTTTTAAAAGACGTTTTTTTTTTGGTTACGGAATTTTTATTTTTAATTTAATAGACGCCAGAATGACTCTCTCAAATCTCAACGGGACGTGCCGCCATAAAGTTTGTATCTTATAATACCAATGTTTTATTCCCTAAAATGTGCCGATTTGTTCCGTATTGACTGATCCACTCAACTTGCGAATGTCAGATCATTACACAACTCGTTGTTTACCTGCATATCAAAAAAATGTCTCATAATGACGTATTATGACGCATGAGATTTAAATCGCAAATGTCTAAAGCGATCACTGATGCTTATCATAATCTTGATAATTGCGAAAGCAAGAAGTGCCTTTTGTCTTTTTAATCTTGATTGAATATTTTGACAAACGTCAATATTAATTCTATATTTGTAATCCATATCTTTATATGCTTTCAACTGTCAAAACTTTTATTTAAAAATATACGTTATCTCCGGTTTCTTTGCAAAGAATGACAAGGATGGAGATATAGATTTTATTCACGATTATCTGTGCGTTTCTGAGAAAAAAATCTCTGTGTAACATCGTCATAGATGTTTTTAACGGAGATTTGATCTCAGAAACCCCCGTTAAAACTAAACATCAAGATTGTCTTTAGTGATTGTAACCGTCTTATATATATCTTAGATTATAATATTGTTTATTTTATAAGTGCCTACTTCTAATTCTAATCTGAAACGAAACCGGTTTTCTTTATGTTTGTCTATAATAACAATTAACAGACTATTTATTATTTTACGCAGTTAGATTAGGTTTATTTTTTATTTTAAATATACTTACTGTGTGTAGTGGTAATAGACATGGGTAAATAAATTCTGAATCAGTTCAAAAGTTCAGCTCATAAAGACTTGAACCATTGAGCTGTAGCTGAACAACTAAATTGGCAACTGCTCATTGCAATCTACTATTATGTGAGCTGAAGAGCAGCGAGCCTGTTGATTAACATTTCACAAACGAAACGCAAATCATAATTCAATGCAGTTACAAATTGAGCTGTTGTGAACCGGTTCACTGATCCGCTACGCATGGGAACAATGAGCTGATCTACTTATTAATTATAGTTAATATTTTCATGATTACTTAAGACAGTTTAACTACTAGATATTTAGATTATTTACTGTGGGTTTCTGAGACCAAATCCGTTTAAAATATATTTTTATCTCCGTTTTATCAAAGATAATGACAGAGATGAAGATGTTTACAGAGATAATGGTCTCAGAAACCAACGATAACAAAACTAAACTGGCAATTGACCAATTTAAAGCTTATTCAAAGATTAATTTATTTGTATCAAAAACATGATGGAATATGTATTATATTTTCATTTAAAACATTAAATTTGATACGTCAGCGTTATATTGCGTTTCAATACAACTTTGTGTATGTAACTTGGAAGCAAAGTCCAAGTTAATATATTTACATAGTATTATACTTGCGTAATTTTTATGTACTCCGTGAAAAAGGCAAATACTTAACATGATGACATAAGCATATTTACAACTGTGTTGCAGTTCTAAGGCTTGGATAACAGGGTTAATTTTAAAAAATAAACCCGTCACCTTCCTGCCTTATATTGGCGTCATATCTAAATTCACTACCTTCTTAAGTATACTCTCTTATTCATATCTATCTTTGTTTTGTTCTTGATAAATTGATAGAGAATAACAGGAAGGAAAACAATCGAACTGTATGACTTATTAAGGTATATTCTAGTATCGTGTAAGGTCTATAATACTGTCTAGTGGACTAGCGTTTGCCCACGACACTGTCGTCTGCGGAATAAAATAGAGAAAAATAATTAGTAGCCTGTGTGGTCTTCCAGATTATGTTCTATATGTACCTTCAAACATCCATCCAAACATTCGTCTTTATAATATTAGTAAGATATATAACTGAGGTCGTACTGTAATTAGTCTGTAGTACCAAAAGGAATAAGTGCATAGGGTAATGCTTCGACGATGTAAGTCAACAACCTATTTGAAACAGGTTCGGGAACCGTCAATCTCAGGAATGGTAGAAGGCAAATCGTGGCAAGACGATGACCTGACCATATATAATTTTCTGACATTCATACCTTTACGATACCCATAATTATAAGGATGACTTCAAAATGCAAGGCATTATAGTCCTTATAGCCTACGAAATACGTCATAATGATGTATTGAAGTCTGTTATTTGTGTTATGCATTCTTTAAATTTTGACTACCAAACGAACGAAAAAATTCAAAGTTATAAAAGGTGGGGAATTTATAAAATGCACTTTCAAGTTGAACTATTTAAATTATTCATCAATCGTCTATTCTGGAGTTTAAAAATAAGTAAAGAAATTGGTATATGGATTAAATCTTACCAATATTATAAATGCGAATGCAAAAGGGCTTAGAAAAGATTTAGATGAAATTTTGCACAGTTGTAGAACATAGTCTGGAATAACACAAAGGCGACTATTAAATTTTTTTTTAATTCCGCGCGTACGGTGTCGTTTGCAAAAGCTAGTATAAAATATACTTTCATTGCTTTTCTTGGAAGATGTCATTTTAATGTCTTTGTATTATAATTGAACAGCACAAATATATTTTTTGTACTGAATACTTTTAAAGGTGGAATATGGTTGTAAGTGCAATAACTTTGCGACTTTGTTCATTGTCAAGGGCACACAAAACCACGATCGCACGGAAACGTGTAAACGATATCAATACTACTAACCAAATACTATTGTAATTTATTGTATCGAATGACCTTAAAATAAATTCATGTCATCGTTTCTATTACATATTAATTGTATGCAAGGCCTACTTTTATTACGAACTAAACCAACGTTATATTTAAAAAAATTCGTCGACAACTATATGAACTTTGTTTCGAGGAAGTTAAAGTATTTAATATTCAAACGTCGTCTTATAAGTTTTAAGACGTATTTTTAAGTATAAGTAACGTAATATTGTCGAATTTCAAATAACAAATGATAATTAATGTGCATAAAATATTGAAAATAATAAATAAAAACACTCACAGATTATATCAGGAAAATCCTGTTCTCGATTTATTAACAGCTGCGTACACCGGTGCTCCAAATAACAACACTGCACAAATATATTTTAGTTTTGCGGGTTACGCAGTTCGGGTTTATGAATGGCGGGAAAATATAACAAGCGCGCGTACGACCAGCGCGCGTCTCGGCTGTGGACTGACCGATTGGCCGAGCGCTTTTTCTTTAGTGTTCCCGCGCTGGCTCTAGGGACGCGTTGCTTTTGCCTTTTTATTTTTAATTTCGAGTGCGTGAACCGATTCGATAAACACCGGAACACGTGATGTCAACGACGTCAGGTTGGTTTGACTGCATTATTTTGTGATTTTTATTTAACTAACGCTCCTACGTCATCAAATAAAAATGTTTATTCACACTGTTTTAACTAACGATCAATACGGAAGTCCTTTTATGTAGGTTATTGGTTATATTGCAATGTCATGGACGTCGTGTGAGCTCTAGTGTTGCCATAATTAATTCTTTATCAAATGCTAAAGCATTTCAGTATAAATGTTTTTCTTTTTGTCTGTAGAGCAGTTAATTAATGCCACAAGAACTTTAATTACGGCTCTAGAAGGCTTTAGTCATCTTGGTCGTTGATGACATTTTCGAACAGTTAGCATGATAACGTACTTTAATATCTTTACTACTACAACGATTTATTACTTCAAACGCCATCATAATTGGATGTATTAAGCGAATAAGCCAGTATAGTTCCATCCAAACTTTATGCCGGCGCGCAGTTTTAAACGAGACGTTGCGTAACACAATTTTAGGTATATGCGGGACGTCAAGGTATGCGGGGGCGGGAAACAACCGTTAAAGTTAGAATCTCGGAATACATAATGAAAAATATAATTAGGGGCAGGAAACAACCATTATAAAGTTAGAATCTCGGTATACATAACGAATAATATAATTTTTCAAGTTATTTTATTGTTAATAATTTGTGAAATAATCTCGTGACTTTAATGTTTGTTTCCAGCAAAACTTTTTGTTTCACTTTAGTCGTTGCGTAAAGGACGAGTCCTAACGCAAATAATGTACAGCGGAGTTCAAATTGCAGATAGATTAAATTTCGTTGCTTACAACATCTTACTCATCTTTTAAACATTATATTGAGCTTGTTTTATAATACACAGTATAAACAACTAGCTGTCGCCCGTGACTCCGTCTGCGCAGAATTATAATTTTAGTAAGATGTAAGATTTTAGTATCGTATACGTATTTTAATTTTAAACTTGACTTTATCTTCCTTGTATTTTCTTTGTAATTTTAATCCTTACAAGTAAAAAAGGAAAATTATTTTTTTTATCGTAATTCATCTTTTTAAAATGATGTCATTGAAATGGCATTGTAATGTAAATGTCGTGCTCGTTATTTCTTTGTAGGAATATTTAATTCAATTGAATAAAACACAGAACTTTACGTCTCGAATGAAAGTGATTTATTGAGAATAGTAATGACATAGTTCTCAAGTAAAAATATAACTGCCTGTGTTGTACTTAAATTTCGAAATTTGGGTATATTTCAATTTCACCGTTTAATTTCTATACGCATATTTTAAACGTGTTTTAACACTAACGCTTCTCCTTTTCCGTACTTCGAAAGCAAAAAAACGGAATTCTAATAGGTTCACTTTGTTGTCTGTCAAGACCCTTTTTACGAAAATCTCTCTCGAAACGCATCGTGCGAAATAAAAGTTACATTGGAAAGGGCGAGGGTGAGATTCGACAACGGGGGCGAATTCAAGGGTGGTTGTTGAACCCTTATTATAATATCGAATGCAGTTTAGGGTGATGTTGGTTTTCTCTTTCGCTATTAAGTTACTAAACTCTTAGTTTAAATTTATGTAATAGAGGCATTTTCTAATTAATATGTTTGTCCCCTTAGTTATTTACGTATGGCGTTGATGTCTTAATATATTTGCTTAGGTGTGCAATTTACTCTAATTAAGCGTCTAATTGGATCATAATAATAGTGAATTACTTCATACTTCATACGAGTAAAGTTGCTTCTTATCTTGCGGCTAACATTTGTTTTATCCTACAGTTTTTAGGAATCGCTATTTCGTATAAAAAAACCATATGCAAATGTGAAAGTAGAATACATAGACGTACCTCTATAAATGACATGAAAATGTTACAAATTCTTTGTCGGACTGTATAGACCGGTAGACTTATATGAACCGGGAGAGGCACTGTTATTGTGGTCAGTTCTGTCAGATAATCAAAAACAGGGGAAAACATGACAAGACAGATATGGTCCGAAAATTAGAATTGCTTACAAGCACCCCGGCAATATCAAGTAACGCACGGCCCGCAACAGATTTTAGTATCCTTTGTATGATTTGACATAGCGCTGCGTCCGTCATCAGCGCCACCCGCATCGAAAAACAAAGCTTGTTGGTACATATTGTCATCCCTTTCACTCTCTTTGACAAAACAGAGACGACAATACGCGTACATGTCACGGCAGTGGAATTCTACGTTAAGATAAACTCGCAAATTAGATATTGACTATTGATCGAAAAACTAAGGGCAATTTAATTGGTACGGAACACATATACGTATTTTTTGGGTTGTTTGTTTGTCATGATAAAGAGTGTCATCACCGCATTGTTGTAATCTATTTGCCTTAAAGTTATAAAGTAATTGTGAAGTTAAGCAAGCGACGACGAACGTATGATGTATGTAACGTATGTATTAGGAATTTTAAGTAAATTATTTGCAATTTACTAATATTTCTTGCATACATAGGAACTAAGTTTTTTTGCTTGGATATGTTTAACAAAAATCAAACGTAATTCGAACCCAAGCCAACGTGGTGATAATTTCGTATTTATAAACGTTAGGCTCATAACGCTTCAGTGTTGCAACATCGATTAATCTAATAGATTTTTAGTCTATGACAGGTGTCAAACTACATAATTTTAATTGTTATTACATCTTACTAATTAAACTAAAACGTAGAAGCTACGTAGATTTTTGGTAACAAAATAACGTATATTTATGGTTGTCAATATGAGTTTTAATTTTAACAGATACTTAATTAGTAATGGTTAAATGAAAAAAACCCATAGACATTATGTTATGTAATTTTTTCGAGTACTTTACCCCACTCTATCTTTCCTCTTGACCTGACGTCAGTGTGACGTCTCAACGGTGTCTTTAAGTCGTATTTTGTTTCAAACATTGTAAAAGCAACGTAAATCACAAACTACTCGTTAATTTTTGACGTTCTTCAAGGTAGCAATGTTAATGTTTAAAATAACAATTTACGTATTGTTTCATTTTTGGAGAAAATTAGCTTGTACGTTATAAATGGATAGAATAATAAATTTTTTGCGTTGTAACTCTGATTTCATAGTATTTTCAACCTTATTATGGCATTACAATGGGTATAGGAACTTAATAAGTACGTCTAACTATCATCGTAAGTTCAAATACGTCCTTTTTTCCTCTGATCTTTAGGGACCTTCATTCTTTTGAACATGCCAGTGTCAAAACAATATACTTAAAAAATAGTTACAACTGGTAATTTAACAGCAAATAACAAAAGTAAAAAGTAAGATTGTATAACCCCATTATCCGTTTCTGGCTAAGTTAAAAACCTTAATAGTTTCTGTATATATTAATCTTATTCTTTACTAATATAAATGCGAATTTTTAGATGGATTGATGGATCGATGTTTCTTTGAGGGTATCTCCAGATCGGCTGCATATCTTGCTGAAATTTGGCATAGATACAGAACATAGTCTGGAAGAACACATACGCCACTTACTAAGTTTCTTTTTAATCCCGCGCGGGCGGAGTCCCGGGATGCAGCTAGTATAAGTATTTTAATTAATATATGACATGAAAGGCTTGCCGGGTTTATTTTATAAACATACATTTATATCTAGTAAATATTTTGTATTAAAAAGTGAATAATGAATCGAATGTTTTGTTTTAAAATTAAACTACACAGTTTATATTAACACGAAACCACCTGGCTTCATTTTACGTGTCGAATTCGATGACTAATGATACAATGTCATTCAAACTTTATGGCGGCTCACAACTTTGGGTATCGACGGGACGTATGGTTACACCACTTCTCGCTTTCATCCACCTGTATCGTGGCCATGTGGCTTGCTGCATGAGCAGACATTAAGTTTGCATCTTATTATACTCTATCACCATAAAGCGTTTCTGCTTAAACATTCAGTACATTATATAACATTACATAACGGGATAGAATAACTTTTTACTGAATACATGTGTCATTTATCTCCTCGCGCCCCCTCATCATCATCAACCTGCCCTTATCCCTATTGAGGGTCGGCACTGTACTACGCCTCCAAACATCATCTATCAGCCGTCATATCCAAATATACCCCCTTCCTATGCATATCCTCTCTCACACAGTCATTCCATACTTTTTTTGATCTTCCTCTACTTTTGTAGCAATCCATTTTTGCTTATATCATCATCCCTCCGCATAACATGTCCACGCTAATCTTTTACTCCTCGATTTCCGGATCACTAGCGCCCCCTGTACATGTTAAATTATTTTGTGATCTATAATGTTTTTAGACTGTTTCAGAACGTCATATACTAGTCTTACTTCTTACTAATTTACCAATATGCGAATGTATAGATGGATTTTTGATAGATATCTCCAGAACGGCTGCATGGATCTCACTGAAAATCGGCATAGACAACATATATTGTAAGGAACACATAGACTACTAAGTTTTTTTTTTAATTCCGCGCGGATGCAGTCGCGGGTGACAGCCAGTAATTTAAATAATTTACTTCTGTATAACTATATTAATTGTCTGTACCACTAAAGGTATTTATTCTACCATAGAGTTTATAGTGTTTGACGTGTAATATTATACGCAGTGTGTCATAGATATCTCGATGTCATTATATTGACTTGAGGCGCCGTGCATATTGTCAGCAATTGAAGGTGAAACCTTTAACCCTCGCTTCATTGACACTGCTGCGCAGTAATGACACGTGTCATGCCATACTTACGACGTAAAGACTATTATATGTACCACGAAAAGTAATATTAAAAGCCTAATCTTGCTATCTTACTAATATTATAAATGCGAATGTTTGGATGAATGAAAGTTTGTTTAAAGGTATCTCCGGAAAGGCGCAATGGATCTCGACGAAATTCGATATAAATACAGAACATAGTCTGGACGAACATATTTTATTCCGCGCGGACGGAGTCACAAGCGACGGCTAGTTGTATATTTATGATTAGATTGGAGTATTTATAGTTTAATTTTACGCATGAAATCTTATATTGGAACGTTTTACTGTCTCAGCTTTTTCAAAGTTAATGAAAGGGACAAAATGATTCCATAGATGTATTTATACATAGCTGTAAGGTTCCATTGAATGACACAATCCAAGTGTAGTACAAACTTACAATAAGGTGATTAACACTAATCAAAATGTGCCATAATACCTATAAAAGTACGACTATTAATAAAGATTACCTACACTCGACGTTATATCAGAGCCGTCATTCAATACTTATAGAATGCAGTCTGATATTACAGACGCTTCCAGCAAATGCTTTTATAAACTGCTCATTGTTCGCTCCCGCAATCCGACCTTATCAACCCTAAACGTTGCAATTCACCGTAAAATTGTAAATATTAGGCATTTTGTAATGTTACTAGCTGTCGCCCGCGACTCCGTGCGCACGGTATTAAAACAAAAACTTGAAAGGTAGCCTGTGTGTTATTCCAGACTATGTTCTACATATATGCCAAATTTCAAAGAGATCCGTTGAGCCGTTCTCGAGTTACCTTCAAACAAACATCCATTCATCCATTTAAACAAAGTAAGATAAGATTTATAATATTAGTTATAGTCATTATTAGTTAGAATCCTTTGACGCGAATGACGTGCTTTCGTTACAAAGTCCAGTGTCAGAATGAAAAGTGAGGGGACACAAACATCGACATTTTAGTAAGGCTAGTGTTGAGTCAATACACTGCCACATTTTTGGATTTTCTTCTTAAGTTAGTAAGATTAACAGCCGCCCTTGGAAATCTTACGTGGTCTTACTTAAAGTTGATTTTAAAAGAGTAATACTGCTAAAATAAGGGTCTCTCTAAGAAACTATTAATGTTGGATCTTTTAAATAAGTGTGTTGTTAATAACTGTTCAAAACTTATCTCACTGCACGATTAAGTCGAGACCTGATTAATAAGCGATTTTAAAATATTAAAATTAATTAAAAAGATAACGAAACATGGTTGTAATAAATGTTAAAATAGATTTTATTATTGTCAGTATATTAAGAAATTTCAAATACTATACGACATGAATGTTTTAATTTTATACATTGTCATTTCCACTGCCGAAACATTAACAAATACATAAATAGTCACGTGTATTATTGTCTCTGAAAAACCATAGATAACTTTATGTTCCATAAATAACATTCTGATATTTTTTTTTATCATAAGGTGGCAAACGAGCGAGCGGCCACATGAAATCGCTGAAATAGCGAAGTGACCGTTGCCCATTGACATACGCAATTGCATATGCGTTGCCTACTTTTTCTCGTAGACAAGTTTCAACATCTTATTGGTGTCCAACCCAAAGTGACCTCTTTGGATATCACTGTAATATAAGTTTGCAATTGTTTCAGAGACGAATCGTATGCTGGCCAGCGCCTCCTTTGTGGGGCTGCTTATCGTGATTGGTCTGCCGCTCTGGTGGAAGACCACAGAAGTTTACAGGTATGGCAATCTTTAGTACGGCTAGGTATAATAAGAAAAGCGGCACAGAATACCTACCTAGGAGTTTATCTGACCACCAAGTTTTATCTATTTTCATCAAATTATAAATACTAAAATAAATTATTAATAATATATAATTACTAGCTCTCGCCCTCGACTCCGTCTGAGCGGATTTAAAAAAATTTAATTAGTGACCTATGTGTTCTTCTAGACTTTGTTCTACATCTGTGCCAAATGTCATCAAAATCTGTTGAGCCGTTCCGAAGATACCTTCCAGCAAATATCCATCTATCTAAAACTAAAATTTTGCATTTATAATATTAGTAAGATTGTGTTTGATTTAATTAAAATATTAAAACTTAGTACTTTCTTATTTTTTTCCTTTTTTTTAAAATTAGTTTATAGAGTAGTATTTAAATATTAAATAATACATATAATGTTCTAGCTAGCGATATATAAGCACATAGGTCGTATGCTGTTAACACACGAGTTATGTATAACATTTATGTAACACATCGATAAAACCACTTTTATTTTACATAAATAAACAAAAACTTCGCGCTACGTTATATAACCAAGTATTGTATAAATTATTTAGAGGTCGTAGTTTATCGCTAAAATGCGCGTTACAATATAATTATTCCTGTCACGTTTGTACAGTCAGCGTCATATAGATCGTCACAGACAAGATATGCAAATATATAGGTACACCAAAAGTATTCAATTATATCGGTACAACAAAAGTCCTCAAAATAATAGATACATTCACCCTGCTCAAATACATCGGTACATACACAGCGTCAAATATATGAGTACATGCAAGATGCTCATAAATATCGTAGCAGCCACAGCGTCATAAGTAACGAAGCAGTCAAGGTGCGCAAAAATATCGGTACATTTGACAAAATTGAACTCTATCTCTATATACTTGTGATACAATTTGGAATAAACTACTTCTGTTACATTCATTTGACACTTTGTATTAACATTATAGGTTGTCCGGAAAGTTCGTTCTGATTTTCGATATAAAGCTTACAATAGACTGTAGCTGAAGTGGATTCATTTTCGGATTTCCACCATTATCAAACGTCACAAAAATTTCTATATTGTGAATAATTTCATTTCATTGGTTGAGATAAAAACTAATTTTTAAAATTTTATCCAATAATAAAAGACGTTTTAGGTATAGAGTCGTACCAATATAATTTTAAAACATTTCCAAAAATTTAAGAGAACAGGGTTTCAATTTTCCTTATAAAGCGGCACGAACTTACTGGGCAACCCAATATTTTTCTTCTCCTGTCATAACGCTTAAATATAAAAGTTTGTCACGCCGAATATGACAGATACGTATTAACTAATATCAAATTTTGCCTTGTCACAATATATATATAATACTAGATTGGCGCAGTATTCTAGTATGTTTGCCGTAATATGTAAGTTTACCGGTTCGAATCTCAGGCTACTTTTTTTTTCATTTTATCAATCACGGGGTTATTTTTTCATAACCAGTAAAAATTTGGTAATGTAAAATTTTGCTGACAATTTTTTTTTATAATTTTCGCTGTCGGGTAGAAAGAAATTTAAATAAAGTTAACAACAATTAGGTCAGACCATCGCGGGTGAAGTGAGTGGGCGGAGCGTGGATTGTCTTTGCGGGTTTTAAGAATGGTACGCGCGGAAACTATACGTACAAGTGTTATCTACATATGTGTGCGCGCCCACGCACACTGGAATGTTTATTGCAATCGACCAAAAATTTGATGTGGTTTGGATATTGACATTCAGTTTTTTTTCTTTGTTTCTTAAATATAATCAGTATCAGTAAAAGGTAAAAGTAAAAGTGTTATTTTTACCGGTACAAGTTTAACAAACATGAGTAATAAACAAATTACATGCCAATAGCATCGCTTTATCTCCTTCATTTTTGTTTGAAATAGAAAAGTACTTTAACGGTCAAACTCATTAGTCCAAGGCAATATCAAAAAGTACCTAATAACTACGGCGATAGAGTTTAATTACATGTGCTTCGGTATTAAAATTAAAAAGTTTAAATATCAAAAAAAAATAGTGGCTTGGGATTTGAACCGCCGACCTTACGTACCAACGGCGGCGAACGGTAAGGCCACGAGACCAAACTAGCATATATGATGACAAACTTAAATTTGATGTTGGTTTTATCTACCTAATATCTGTCATCCGCGTCGAACACTTTTAATAAATTTTGAAAAATGGTTTGATGCAAAGTGTCAAATGAATGTAACAGAAGTAGTTTATTCCAAATTGTATCACAAGTATATAGAGATAGAGTTCAATTTTGTCAAATGTACCGATATTTTTGCGCACCTTGACTGCTTCGTTACTTATGACGCTGTGGCTGCTACGATATTAATGAGCATCTTGCATGTACTCATATATTTGACGCTGTGTATGTACCGATGTATTTGAGCAGGGTGAATGTATCTATTATTTTGAGGACTTTTGTTGTACCGATATAATTGATTACTTTTGATGTACCTATATATTTGCATATCTTGTCTGTTACGATCTATATGACGCTGACTGTACTTTAAAATATTAATAAACAATTGTTAAATGCATTGCTAAAGAAAATATTAACTCTAAGCCTCTTCTTACAAAAGCAACGTAAATCAACAAAACTAATATCGCGTCGCGAGTAACATGTTGCGCTCGCACCGTACACAGAATTTTGAATCGTCGACGCATAGCGACTGCACAACTGTACAGATTTGCTCCGCCATCTTGAAAATCGCAACGACTTCTCACGGCGGTATTAAACAGGTTACGAGCAACTAAAGTCGCCGCGTTTCAAAGATTTTGGTTGCATTGTGTACTATACCTAACATATAAAAAATTGTGTAACTAAAACATATGAATGAACAGGTAAACTAATTTGAAATTAATTCCACACCAGAACTATACAAGATTATTGCCATCTCTATTATTCTCTTTGACAAAAACAGAGATAGCTATATATTCACTTTGTCTACTTCCAGGGTATCGCTACCATACGACAAGATCAGCGCGTTCAATACACAAGCGCGTTTCATCACGACTGAGCTGACTGTTCTAGCTAATGATGAGAAGACTGCAGCTGATGTTGCAGAGCTAATCGAGAAAGCATTTAAAGATTATGGTGAGATAAATTTCTTACTATATCTCAGTAGTGGGGTAAAGGAGGTCTACAGGGCGCCGCTCGCTCTATTCTGGGCTCGGTCCTTAGTCTTAAGTCATGTCATTACGGTGATATAAACATCAGCTCACTATACGTCCCCACTGAGGTTCTCGGAGACTACCTAAAGACAGGGATGACTAGGTCATCGTCAACCACGCTGGCCAAGTGCGGGTTGACTTCACACATATCATTGAATTTCTACTTTGATATGTGCAGATTGCATCACGAAGTTTTCCTCTACCGTAAGAACGTCAGATAAATACGATGTACGTACATATGTAAACAAAACACATTGGTGCTATTGGCTCCAAATAGAGCTGCGCTTTTAGGGTAGTCGATTAGGATGCTAAGTAGACAATCTATAGTTAAAAATGACGTCAGTTTGAAATAACAATTGAACTAATTTGAACAAATAAAATGTTTTTTGATTCGTATTTTTAGAGCACAGTTAAGGGAAGAATATGTAAGAATACAGGGTGTTTCAGTTCTTTAATAAATGATTTTTGAGTTGTATAAAACCACGTAATGAACACGCATATAAATACGGTGCAGTTTGGTACAGACTATAGATAAAATAAACGTGATATCTTTTTTATTTAACAATTAAATAATTATCAGCCAGTTGCTTAAAATAATTTTTTACGATAAACTTTTGGTGTGGTCCCTGACCTTGAACTTGATACCTTCCAATATTTGTTGTCATTGGGAATGCAAATAAAAGGAAGTTTATTTGAGACGAGATAGACAATATCGGCAATGAAAACCTACGGTAAAATATGAATGATTTTACGCGTAGATTTACGAATACTTAAGGGTAATATAGGAAGATGTAAAATTGTAATATCTGCCTACCCTATTAAATTACGGCTTGATTTATATTAGTTATTTTGATTTACAACAGGAAATATTGTAGGGACACCGACTTACAGCGGAACTGTCCAGTTCAAGTTGTTTGAACGGTTATTTATAGAAGACTTCCGTATTTAATTGACCCTCAAATTAATAATAGAATGACCTTAGATAGATTTGCGAGATAACTAGATATAAAGAAATTATTTTTTTGTAAAGTGTAAATCATAGGACATTTTGGTCCTTCGAAAGCCGGATGTTTTAACTTTACCAATATCACAATAATATTACTTTAAAGGTTAAATTATTTAACATATCGAGCCTACGACAAATATATAATTTTGATTTCCTATATGAATATCAACTTTAATTCCAGATGTCCTAAACCTCAAGATAACGAGAGGCATACTGCCTGAGAATCTGCGAAGGAGTCTGGACTCTATCGCAGACGAGCAAGAGGCGGTTGAGGAAGTGGGAGGTGCATTCGACCTCACACAACATAACAAGATGTACGTGGTCCAACGATCACCATTGTTCCAGGATGTCTGGCTTGGTACTGAGAGGGTTGTCTTCTTTAGAGATGCCAAAGGTATGTCAAGTAATTTTATGCCTGTAGTGATTTATTTCTTTGTTTATGTGTATGATATATTAAGAAGGTAGTTTGGGGTTTTTCGTAGGAAAATGGGGTAAACTAGCACTGGAATTAATTATATACGTCCATGGACATTCACACTATAGAAAAGAGAAAGAAATTGCGCATTTTGATTGCTTTTAAGCAAGAACTAAGCATTTTATTTAGTATATTATTTCCTACAAGAAAGATTTTAATAGTAGATATTAGCAACCGTTACAAACAACTACTTAGAGATGTCAGCGATAAGTTTAAGTAATGCAGATGCGTTATCTATATTTTCATGGTCAGATATGGGGAAGTAAATAAAGGGTTATCATGTTCTTATTCTTCACCTCCTCTGTGCCAATGTTCTCAGCGGCTGATACCCTCGCGAAGGTCCTAAAGCAATGGATCTACGAGCCCTCAGTGCTTAAAGGTGCGAGGTCGGAGACAGCGGACTCTACGCGGCGAGTGCGCTTTCCACCTGGAGAGGGATACCATGTCGTGCTGTCTGTCGTACATCCAAGGCCACAGGATCTGAAAGTGGAACTGAACGCCAGGGAAGCGGTTGAAGGTAAAATGTTATACGTATTTATGAATTTATTTAAATAATAAAGTAAACTGTAAATAATGATAAATAAATATATCATTCGTACTATATTTTTTTAATAATATTAGCTGTAAAAAAAACATAATTAGTAGACTATGTGTTCTTCCAGATTATGTTCTACTATGACTAATTTTATTGCGATCCATGCAGCCTAATCCTTAACTTAGGGTAGGCTCCGAGCCCCTCGGTGGGGACATGCAGTGGGCTGATGATGATGATGATGCAACCTAGAGATAGGTTCTAACAAACATCCATTTATCTAAACATTCGCATTTATAATATTAGTATTTAAGAAGTTAGATGTGTTTCAAAACTATGTAGTTTTGTTCAACCTCACAGAAGATTTACTATCACAGAGAAATCTCTACGTAATTCTTCTAATAAGCTACTTTACAATATAATATGAGGTTTGTTCAGATTACATCGGATCGTTCGTGGACGAGCTGGACGTGCTGCACAACTTCACACTCAAGTCGCAGTGGCTGTATCTCCTCAACTTTGACTTCCAAGCAACTGAGGTAAGTGGCTACTGGTGAATGATAAATACGCGCAGAAGTCCCATGTTTACAGCACATTATCATGTTAGTAAACGATATTTTATTTAATTAAATTTATTTATTCCTTAATAAGATTAAATTAAATTAAAAATCTTGGTCCTTCGTGAGCAGGATAAAACTCACAGTAACAATTGAATTCTGTGCTTTTTATAGCCGAAGTAGATAGAGGTGTAGAAGAACCAGATCGTTTAATATTTTTAATCTGACGTCTATAGACACCTACAAAATCAGACTATGTGCAGTATTTTATGGTTAAGTAAGTTCATATTGTTCAAATTTCTATAACAACACGTTCATAACTATTATAAAAGTCATTACTTACTGAACTCTGAGTGAACACTAAGACTTTGAGCAAGGACTTTGATTCAACCAATTAGTTGAATCAACTGTTAACCACACTTCAACGTTTCAATCGATGACCGTTTTTCATTTAACTAGAAATCAACTTAAATTTAAATAGGAGTCACTGATCGCCTTGTTTTTTCTTCGTCAATCTTCGGGTTTTTATTTATTAATTGTATTATTAACTAGACTAGACTAAATGAACTAGTTTTTTGACTAGAAACTAAATGAACTAGTCTTTGTGACATTGACCAGGTGAAGGATGAGAGTGAGTGGGGGCGTCACTTTGCGGTGCGGGAGGAGAGGCTGCACGTGCTGCTGACCGCGCTGGAGGGGCGCGCCGCCACACACGTCTCTGACCTGCCCACACTCAACCTCGCCCTATACATACTGCCCTGCGCACACGCACCCTTGATCATATATGACTCCGAAAGTTTGTATATACTGCTTTTTAACACCCTTATATTTATTTTTAATGTATATTAGCTGTCGACCGCGACTCCGTTCGCACAGACCTAAAAAAAAACATAAAAAGTAGCATATGTGTACTTCCAGGCTATGTTCTACATATGTCAAATTTCATTTAAATTCGTTCAACCGTTGTGGAGATACATTCAAACAAACATCAATCCATCCATCCAAAGAGTCGCATTTATATTGTTAATAAGATATCGCAAAATTGAACATCTTTCGTACGTTGGGGAAGCTTAACAATTGTACGAACTTTATTTTTGCCTTTTTATAATGAATGCATCTATAAAAATAAAAATGCAGATATTTTTTTAAACACTATATTTAACATAGAATTTAAAAATATTTGTTTCCATAGATAAAAAAGTATCAAGTCTAGTGCAAGCGTTCATGTCTCCGAAATGGGGGGGCGTGGTGTTCGGCAACCCCGCCCCCGCAGACTGCGGCCACACCTCCGCCACCACCCCCACCTGGTCGCCGCCCCTCCCCCTCATCATGGGCACTTTCATAGCGCAGCTCAGAGAACTGCTCGGCATCACGGATAAGGTAATACTGATTAATTTTTTCATAAGTAAGACATTTTATCTTGATTTTTTTATATATAAGTACTAAAAAGAAAATGTATAATAGATTTAATATAAAAGAAATTATAACATAGGCTAGTTTTTCATTGCACGTTGACGAAATCACAAGCAACTGCTAGATTTTATAAAAAAAAAGTTTTTTTTTTTAACTTAACTATAAAAATAAAAGATAATACCTACGCCTATTAGAGAAATAAATATAGAATTTTAATTAGTTTATTTCTTTGTATATTTTGTCGTATTGTTTACGTATAACTTAATGATATTTAAATTAACTGCAAACAAAATTATTAACAATAAATAAAAAACAATTAATGTTTTACAAACAAAATAATTAAGTCTAAACTAACAGAATAAAATATTCCACTATTTAACTAGAACATAAGACTTAATGTATGGATGGATGGATGTTTGTTAGAAGGTATCTCCAGAACAGATGTAGAACATAATCTGGAAGAACACATAGACTAATAATAAAGCTTTTTTGATAGTTAATAGGTAAATGAATAAAATTTGTGTGATAGGCAAATATATCAGGCGCTCACGTCGAGGCGCTGCGGTCAGTGAGACCGCGCCGCTGGGAGGTGGACACATTGCTGCGTCTGCGCACTCTCGAACAGCTCGCCGCCGCGCACCACAACCTGCACTCTCTCGCGCAGCTGCTCGGTCTGCACTGCATTCAATATTATACATAAACACTACACAATTATACTTATTTTTTTTTATATCATTAGATGGCAAACGAGCGAGCGGTCACCTGAAATCACTGAAATAACGAAGTGACCGTTGCCCATAGACATACGCAATTGCATATGCGCTGACTACCTTTCATCGACGGAGGAGAGGATGCACAGAATGAAAACATTTTCACCTTCCATGCTTCCTCTCATCCGGAAAGTCCACTTCCACTACCCATCCTTTCCTTATGAGAAAAAAGGTGGGAAGGGAAAGAGGACTTAATTAGGCCTCCGGGACGACGACTTATGCGTCAATAGCCTAATGGTTAAGGGTACGGATTTCCGATCACGAGGTCGGGAGTTCGAATCCCGACATTCGACTATTGTCGTAAACTATATCCTAACACAAGTTTATAGCTTAGTTGGAATGGTAATAGTAATATAATTAAATTTCCAAAAGAAATCTGCGCTAATATTTAAAAAAAAAATAATAAAAAAAATTACATCTTCCACTGACAAATCTCTATATGGCTATGTTGAAATAGCCATATACCTACTGTATTTTTACATCACTCACCCCCTTAACCCAGAGCTGTAGTCAAAGATCATGATCCTCCATTTGACGCACTCCTGACCTCTCTCGTTTCTTCTTTACATACTTTTAGACATTATTAGTTAGAATCATTTGTAAATGGCGCACTTTCGTTACAAAATAAAGTGTTAGGATTAGTGAGGGGACATAAACGTCGATATTTTAGTAAGTGTTGCGCTACACCGGCACTGTGTCGGATTTTTATTTACTAACAATATATACATCTATGTATACATGCACCTTGGTTTCGGATACTCATAATATTGCCTTTTTTGAGTATTTCATCAAACTGGACAGTAAAATTTTATGATAACTCCAACACTGTCGCTTACTTTCTCGACATAGAATTTTAAATGTGGGGATATACAAATGTAAAAACATAATTAACGCTCGTAACTAAATCATAACACTATTTAAAACGTAGTTTCATTCTTTTCGATTCCGTAGAAAAAAAAAATAAACAACAATCATATGAAAATGTATACAAATGTAATTTAACAGTTGTGTTATTTAACATTTTCAGGTGAGATATCAAACATAGTGATAAACGACGAGGTGGGCGCGTCCATCAACTCCGCGGTGACGTCATCAGAGAGCGCGGGGGAGGCGGCGGCGCGCGGGGAGCTGCTCGCCGCCTACAGCACCTCCCTGCGCGCCTTCCTCGCAGCTGAGAGCGCCTTCATGGAGCCCAGCCTCCTCGCACTGCTGTACTTCCCTGATGATCAGAAGTTTGTATATGTTTACACAAATATCTCGCCCGCTCAGGTGCATGTTTCTTACGATGGTCAGAGCCGACAAGATATTTGACGACCACTATACAAGTTGCAGCATTCACAGTTGTTTCCTCCCTTAAGAAGACTTAATTCAAAGTCGTTAAGAGATTCGTAATAAATTGTTTGTGGTCAATTCTACGTATAGTCAGATTCAATGGAAATTTGAAATGATGAAGCAGTAATCACAGACATGTTCGTATCATCAATATAAATATTTAAATTATCCAAAATAAATCAATAGAAAATAAATAACATTCTCAGTCAATGACATCTGTATATATAGTATCTTATTTCCATATTAATTTTATTTTATTTTTATTAATCGAATTAAAAAAAATTAACTTCGTAATACGACCGATAGATGGCGCTGTTATTATTTTTGTAGCTTTTCTAGATTCTTTTGTTTCTGCCTACAGACGCTTTTTTATCTGAATTTAATTGCTTTTGTTAACAGATACGCGATCTACATCCCTCTGTTCCTGCCCATCATGTTCCCAGTCGTGTTATCTCTGAAGAACTTAATTCTCTGGCTGCGGAAGAAACCTCAAGTAGAAGCTAAAGAGAAGACTGATTAAAACAAATTACTTGTTAAATTAAATTTAACTAATAAAGTTTAACAGTTAATTTAAACAAACATTTGTGTTATTGTTTAAAAGTTCACGTAAAATGTATGGAATAAAGTATTTCGGCTCTTAATAGCCTTAGTTCTTTCGTATGTAAAGCAACGTAAAACGTCTAAACAAATATTGTATTGCAAGATTCGGTTACTAGCGAAAGTCATCTGTACAGATTTGCTCCGCCATCTTGAAAATTGCATCGAGTTGTTATATGACCTTGATAAAGATGTTGCCAACAAAATAAATGGTTTTGGTGACTAGATAACAAAATGTCGGCAACTCGTGCTAAGTACGATCCTTTATGGCATTATTAGCTGTCGCCCGCGACTCCATCCGTGTGGATATATAAAAAAACTTAATTAGTGTAGCCCACCCATCCATCCATCCACATCACATCCGTCTAAACATTCGCATTAATAATATTAGTAAGTTAAATAAAAAGCAGCTCTTCAAGGTATAAATGCGAAAAAATATAGTATCCTATGTCTGTCTCCTGGCTCTAAGCTCACCAATTTTCAACCATATCGGTAAAACCATCCTTGAGTTATAAATAGTGTAACTAACACGACTTTCTTTTATATATATAGATAGATGTTAAGTAGCGTAATAACTAAAACGCTAGGTTTTTAAGATTTATGTTGACTCATGTACGAAGAGCCTTATTTTACCCTTTACAATTTCTTGTAAGGTATTATTTTCTATAAGTTGGTAATTAAAAATAAAACAAAAATCTTATGCTTCACATTACAATATATTAATATGTAAAAGTGAGGTACTTCGTCACAATCAAAATTCATTTAAATTACTTAAAATCTAGTACAATATCAATGCAGCAACTGAGAATTGTCTTGAAAGCGTGGATTTTATTTAGTAACCTATATGTCCGTAAGTTTCAGTTACCTTCTCGACAAAGTCCCGTCAAAATGTCCAGCTGGCAGACAGACAGACAAAAATTTTAAATACATAATTAGGTTAAACAAGGAAAAAATATTTACAGTTCACGATTTTGTCATTTATAAGTTAAATGTTCTCTTTAATAACCATATTGATAATTTTTTCACAACCTTGTAATTATAATTAAAATAAGTTTAATTGAACTATTCTAAAAAGTATGTTTTAATGCTGTACAAACTGAATTAAAATTTCGCTTCCGCTTTCAAGACAAATTATCATGGTGTTATAGAAGTGCAGAATATTTTAAAGTGTACACTACGCAATTATAAGAAGGAATAAGATCAAGGGAGATGTTGATATGTTCAAACGCATTTTATTCTCCATCTATCTTTGATAAACTAGATTTTTTTTTTCATCAAAATAATTTATGAATTTATGATGACAAAGTGGCTGAACGAAGGAAGACTTTTATAATTTAAAAAAAACCCGCTCTATAATTTATGCATTAAAATTGGCGGGAATTTAAGGCGCGATTTTATCGCATCAACTGTCAATCTGTTTAATAATAAATTACTTGATTTACTATTTAATTAAACTGTATTTATTAAAAACATAAAAACAGTGAACTCTATAAGTATCATAAATACTGATAGCCATTTTATTTTAAGTGGTGTTTAAGTTTTGTACTTAAGGAAAAAGAGCTTATTAGCAATATTTCTTAACCCTTTCAATAGACTATTATATCTTATCCAATAAATTAATTTAAATAAATCTATTCTAAAATTATACTGGCTAAAAAAATTTGTAACATTTTGAACTGTTAGGTTTTATTTTAACTGGCAACATCATCGATACGTGGACATAAACATTCAGGAAACTTTTAAATCACATTACGACATTTAATTACTTAAATAATCTGCATTATGATTCCAGCCAGTCGGTCTCCGTGAGCATGGCCACATTTTCCCCTTTACTGGGCCGGTACTCGACCTCCCAGAGAGAATTGGCCAGCACTAGGGTTTCCCCTTCTATGAGTTCCAAATTCAAAGTGTAACAGATGTCTTCACACGGCGCCCGCGGCTTTAGTTGTATGAAGTTCTTGCCTTTCAGCTGCGACATTATAATCAAACCGACATCTAATTCTAAAAACTTATATCTATGAGTCTCATAATTCTTAGAAAGGAGTAGCCAATTGAAGTGCGAAGGAGGGATGTGGGGGGAGAGGAAGTAAGGCCTGGGCGCGAGGAGTCGGAACGACTTGACTGCGCGGATATCGCAGTTCTGGAAGTGCACGAACCAGCTGGGTATGCTGGTGCTGGTGATCCTGGAGACGATTTCTTCGAGGTCCATGGGTTGGCGGCCGAGGCGGATGTTGGTGAGCACGCGGCATGGCACGGAGTCTCGTAGGCGGTCGTCGTCGCCGATGAAGCTGGTCAGGTTGAGGTCTCTTGACAGAGACCAGTCGTAGTGTGCGTCCTCTACTATAACGGGCGCGCCGCGTAGCAGGTGATGGTTGAATACCTCGTTGTAATTGGAATCGGAAACGCGGGCGATTGTCTCTGAAAACAATCAAATGAAATCAATTTATTATTTTTCGTCATTATTACAAAACAAATTAGAAGCACTTAAAAATAATCATGTGATTATTAAGCTTTAGAAGAAAAAAGTTAATTAGGAAGTATTAAAATTATAAAAAAGTAAAATATTTTACACAACTTACGAATGGATTCACATGATATACAATCTGCAGGCGAAATCAAGTCGTTGTCCAAGTTGTGGGGTTGCGACCTCTGTATTAGGCATTTATTGTAATATAGTGGAGTCCAGTCCCAGATCGGAAGTAGACGAATTAGCATCATCCGAGCGAGAGCGGCCGCGTGCCACTGGAAACTATCCGTCTGGCTTACCGTGTATCCAATAGCCAAAACCATCACCACAATCAGAAACGTACGGGTCCATCTCTTAATGGATGCTTTCCTCACTGCCGATGTTAATGGACGACATATTATATCCATATCCTCATCTGACATTCCAGCCTCCTTACAATACTCGTAAAATGAACGCACTTCCGAGTTAATCAACTCGAATTTCTCGCGTTGTGTCATTTTTGCCGCGTTTTTCAAGCTCATTTTTAACGTGACCTATAAATTCTGCCACGACCACCCACCGCCGCGATCGATATTTGAACTTGCGTTTTGTCAGAGCTTATCGATAAACGAATTTCGCGCGCGCGCGATAAGGGTTTCCTGACAAACCATAAATAATACCAGAGTAAATTTTTTTACCAATTTATTTAGATTTGCGGGCGAAAAGTAATTTTTTGGATATTTTACAATAAAATATACCTATATACTATGTACAATTATAATTTAGATTAATAATGTTCATTATTATTTGGTGTTTTTTTTTTCGATCAGTTGCTTTTTCTTCTTTTAGTACTTTTTTCTTTTGAGACACAAAATAATGCCGACAAAGACATCGGAGATTTTCTCGTATATACTAGTTAAATTCTAAAAATAGCAAAAATATTAAATAAACAATTAAATCTGAATGCTTAAAAAGTAAGAATCCTTAAAAAAGAAAACCATGTTCTTTTTTTAGCGTGGCAATTTCGTAAGTCAAGTACTTTTCCGCCATATTGGAAGTTCGCAAGTGGAAGTCGATCAAACACCAACCTTTTATAAGATTGGAGTTTACGGTGAAAAAATTGTAACTTTTAAAATAAATCAAAATTAACATAACTTATTTAATTTTTCATTACGTATACGAGAAAAGTTTTTACGAGCGTGTTGTAATTTTTGCAATTCTTTTGATGAAAACGTCACAGCGCCATGTTGTATTCCTGCGCTGATTGCAGGCACGAGAAATCTGCCAACCCGTTTATTTTTTGGGATTAGACCCCGAGAATAAATCGAACTGCGATTTTGTATTCAAATATATTTTAATTTATATTTGTTGGCAAATGTCAAACAACTTTTGTGAATTCGATGTATCCCTGTTGTCGTATTTCGAGTGGTAACTCTTAATTTCAACTGCAGTTTAGTGCATCCGCGAAAGTTGAAAGGACTGTGTTGTAAAAGAAAGAAGTGATAATTAGCCAAAATTCCGGTCCCTACGCGCAGACGAGAAGGTGCCTACCCGCCGGGGCAGTCGGGTGAAGGAGATATGAACAACAAGCGCAAAAATCGCCAAGGGCCGCCGAGGTAAGGATAGTTTAGCTAACTTTCAGTATCGGTGTGACATGTCTTTGTTATTCGAACTAGACGTCGATGGCTTTGCGATTACTCGCCGTCTCCGTTGTCAAATTGACAGATTTTAATTGTGTGAGCTTAGTGTAATTTAAACAGCGTAAACAAAAGTGTTGATCGTAGGTACGTGGTGTTAGGCGCGGGACACGCCGCCGTCGGAAGACGGTGGAATAGCTGCGGCCGCGGCCGCCTTTAGATGTTTGCCCTACTTTTGCTGCGTACTGACGACTATTAGAATAGCCGTTTGTGATCAGCTGATCTGCAGAGACACTCGGGATATATCAAAGTGCAGTATTCGCTGGTTCCGACATTTAATCAATGCCAGTAATGATTCGATATGGTGCCTTGGGCAGTGGCTAGCAGTGTTGCAGTCTGATAACATTGTCAGCCTCAATTTGGCTTTGCTCTCCAGTTTAAAGTGCATATTTTAATTATTATTGGCAAAATTCCAGAGCTTTCTCAAATTTTCTCTCTTTATCTATTGATGTTCTGTTTTGTCATTTTGTTATCAAATTTTTTACTTGATAGTGGCCAATATTTTTCATAACTAATTAAACAATTTATTTTCACTTTTTGTGTAACTAAAGTTGTATTTTATGTTGTGACAATCAACAAAGCTGTGAACAATCTATTTCATCATTTTTCAATTATTAAGGTAAATAGAAAGTTAGTTGCAGTGTTACATAACAGGATCAATAAGATAAACCATTTACTTATTAATGTCAAATCTTAAAGAGAATGAATATGTAAAGAATTTGGAAAATTTGACATTTTTTTAGACACAATAGCAAAGAAACAATTATTTGCAGTCATTTTAATAAAATTTAATTCATTAAATGTCAGGGTTGTCTTTTTGATTAGAAATTAGGAATAAGTATCAATTTCATACTGGTTCAGCCAAAGTGGCTTTTGATCTCTATCAATGTCATGCAAACTTTTATATAAAAGAGGGTAAATACAAAACCTTTAAAAGAAAGGTAAATTGGATAACTTTTGTTACAAAGAAAACCTTCTATGGCATCTTAGACAAAAGAATGGAAATTACTTTTCAGTTCGCTGGTGAAAAAGTCCAGTATTATTTCTCAATTGAATTGAACGGCAAATAAACAAAGGAATGTTGAAATTTGTAATTGTTGGCCATTATTCTGAATTATTATTACATATTTGTGTTATTTTGTAAAAATTGTAAGAAAAAGTTTAATGATATATGGATGTCTAGAGTCTTTGTGAAAACATAAGTTTTAGTGTAATATTTGATGTTATTGTTAATAATATTTATGCTGGATTGGAATTAGATATGGCAACTTTTCTGGATAAATTATTGCTTAATCATCTTTAAGTTTTTATGATTTTAAAATTGTCTGGTATTTGGACAACATAGAAATGAAAGTTAACAGAGTAACAAAAATTGTTTAGTTTATACAAAGTGAAAGTATTAGAGCTAGAAAGCAAATGCAGAAACCACATTTTTGAGGTTGTTCTATACTATGGATTTATTAGTAATTGTTAAAAAAATACAATATCAATAATAAATTGAGTAAAATACACTATAGCTGTCAAATATGTACATGGAATGTAATGGCGATTATTAAAAAAAGAACGAATCGTTCATAATGAAACTCAAATTGTTACTGGTTACTCCTGTAAGGGATATTTAAGGTTGCAAGAATATTAAATATATTTGAAGTTGGACCTTGCTGCTGTTTAATTACAGGTTTGTTGGCAGTGGAAACTCTCATGTTATATTCAATCCCGTTATCTAAAGCAACAGTACAAATTTATTTAATGTCAGTAGCTATGATGTTTTTCTTATCACTAGTTTTTTATGATAATGCAAGTTACGCAGTGAAAATAAAAATGTTGCTTTACAATCAACTTAATGTGAGATTGTATGTGGATGGCTAGAAACAGAAAACCGAAGGAAATAAGCGTTTTTGACTGTATGAAACAGGATAATGGCTGATAGAGATGTATGGAAGAGTAGATATTAGTACATTCTGTGGTATAATCTGTACTGTAGAGGGCAGGTTTATGATAGTGAAATTTATAAATATTAATTTAGTTGTTTACTTTATATTATGTATTTTATGTACTGAACTAAAAAATAAGATAGCTTATATTTTACTAATATTGTAATGGTTTTTCAAATACTTTTAAGAATTCCGTTTAGTACTTATTATATATGAAATATGGACTTTAGCCCTTGCTTTGTAAATATTATACTTGCTAATTGTTAAATAAATATGACTTAAAAACAGTTGCTTGGTGATAACTATGAAATAATAAGCCACATGCTAAAGACATATTCAACATTTTAACAGTGTCTACTACCACAAGCAATATCTGTTGCATGTGCATACCAGCTTGATAGGTGAAATAAAACAACCATAAAGAAGGTAGGCATGAAGCAATTTTGCGTTTCATCTGATGAGTATGCTGGCTTAAAGCCTAACTTTACCCTCTTTCCACCCTTTTAGGATAGGATTTTTTTTTCTATTCATTGTCCCTATTAAATTGTCCTACATCAATTAAATGTATACAATGCATTTGCAGATGTCTGTGGGTTGCTTTGCCATTTTGATGAAAACAAAAACATATTGGGTGTTCCCGCTGCTCGTTTGCCCGCTTCTGTTATAAAAAAAAAAAACAGTTAGTTCTGTAGAAACTGTAATTTAATAGCAAATAACATATAGGTATCTAACTATGTTTTAATATTTAATTTAACTTCAAATTGTAATAAAATCATATTAAACTTTATTGTACAATGAATTTATTTTATTAAAATCAATTAAATTCCTTTCTTTGAAAGCTAGACTTGCAACATGTAGGAATATCTATTTAGAAATTAAAGAATTTAGATCAAAATTTGAATTTAAAATTGCTTACAATGAAACTCGACATACTTACGCTCTATGGTGGTGGACGGAGATTAATTGTTTTCTATTACAGTTATCTGCTTAAGTAAGTAACAATGCATAAACAGTACTATTAATCAATTATGGTAATTGAAACAAACAATATGTAAAAGTATTTTAGAAATCTTTGTAGAATTCGCTATTTCAGCTATTTCAGATGGCTGCTCGCTCGTTTGCCACCTTATGATATAAAAAAAGACTTGTTTTAGTTTGAGAAACTTTATCACTGATTTTAATAATTAATTACCAATAGTTTAAGCCTCGTTCACTTTCTAACAGTGTGTCTACCAGAAACATTTGTGCTAAAGTATATTTTATTTGCTGTAATTTTAATAATTCTATAGAATTAAGAAAATTTATATGATACTATTCAAAATAAATCTGTAGATTATAAATGTAGTTTGTCTGACAGTAAAATGTGTTTATATACATAATTTCTTATATCCATTGTATTTGACCAGGTTTCATGGATGTTTGAAAGGTCAGTTTTTGGATAAATCATGATGTTTTAGCTTTATATTGGATACAAGTTTAGTTGTTTCATGTAATTCTTGTAAAGTGTGTTTCTTTGGTTTGATAAATATAAATACCAAGTTAAATGGATGAGCCATACAATATGATCCGCTACATTGCGTCAATTTTCTAGTAAAAACACAAAAGTACTAGTAAATTTTATATTATGAATTTCCTGCTATTACGACTCTTTCCTTAAAAAATTATTAAAAATATACATTTATTTAATATATATTTTTCCTTTAAATTCTTCAAAAATTAAAGTGGTGATTTACTAGGATAGTTTATGACATAAAAAGATTTAACTAAAATTTGTGGCTGGGCGCATTTCTGAACGCATCTTAGTAGATCTGTGATAAGTTCCGCATGCTTTCGACAAGTTGCGATAAGATTTGATGCGTGTTACTTCGCTTCACACGATGAATTTGTTCGTTTGTGCTATGCGATATATTGTAACCCAATTACCGTCGGTTTCTGAGACCTAAATCCCCAATTAAAAAATATTGTCTCTGTTTTCAATAATGACAAGGATGACGATATGTTTTAAACAGATATTTTGGTCTCAGAAACCGACGGTAATGATCTATAGTTGACATACTCTTATTCAAATTTATGCATAAAATAATTTCCGTGTGGTTCTCAGACGTCGAAGATATGCGTCTGCGATGTTTAATGCAATATGTTTTTTACACATTTTTCGGCGAAAGAACTTTAAGGTTCTTACATCCTTTGCCGAAAACTATGGTCAAGATAATCCTGTCACATGTTGCAAAGATGGTAATGTTGATATTTTGTATTTATCAGGTCACCTCGGGGCCGTGTGGTGGCTGAGGGCGTGTACAGCAACGCGCACTTCATGCACGCTGCCACATCTCACGTGGGGGACATCGTCCAGGTCCTCACCCAGTCGGGCAGCCTTTGGGAGGGCGTTTTCAAGACATTCAGTGCCCAGTTTGAGGTCAGTTGCCCTACTTTTTAATTATATTGTTGTATGGATGCAAAGGAAAGTTATATGTATATAAATATCTGTAAACGAGTTATATAACTTATTTATATTCGGGGATACCCTGTTTGTGTTTAAGACATTTGCATATCATTCGTAAATAATGTATTCAGTAGTAGAATAATGCATGCACTATGATAATTAAATGCATAACAATATCGTGTCCTTTAAATAAAATACATGCAGTTTTATTATAATTTCATTATTGAAATGGAAAAGATAAAGTTAGCTTTCTACATTGGGTATGTTTGTAGAGCGTCGATGACTCAAATGTAATCTGCAAGTCCTGGGTTCTAATTCAGCAATGTACAAATGTTTTTTCGATTTACATATGTATATTTGTCCGTCTTTCTTACGATGAAGGAAAACATCGCGATGCCTCACATATTTACGAAGATCATTGCGTGTTGCGTGTATGGCCTAGTCACCCTTAACTTAGGGTAGGCACCGAGCGCCTCAGTGGGGATGTATAGTGAGCTGATGCAGGTTCAGGGTCCACGATGAAGCTTTAATTATCCATAGATATCAAGGACGTTTAGTTATTATATAAACAGACCCCTAGTGTTTTTCTCACACTAAATCTACATAAGAGGTTGCGTCGGAATGTGGCAGGCTATCTAGAACTTATGTATTTAGGTTCTCCCATAACTTATTTTTTTTAGTAAAGTAAAAAATGACATCAATGTTAACGCCGACACTTCTATTAAGTTTAAAGATCGCTAACCTTACAACGTGTGATTCTAAAACCGTCTGACGCCCTTTGCTATTCACAAGTTTTTGCAGACAGAACATTTAGACGTGGTGTCATCGAACTGACGACCTTAGGTTTGGCGCGTCGGTCACTGAACTATCAGAGACGCCAATCCCACGCTAATACAATGAAGGGTGCACAAATTTCTAGAATTATAATACTCAAAGCAATCTAATTAGCATAGCTTTTGGAAGCTTAAGTCCCTTGCAATCAAAGGGTACAATTTTTTATTTAATGACTTACTCGTGGAAAAGCCTTTGTATCCTAGAGATTGCTTTAATATCACAAGAAGCTTTTAATAAGAAATTCTGCAGACATCCAATATATTCACGACTTGTTACTACTGGGTAGCAAGATTGATTTAAAAAGCCAGCATGTAAAGTTGCATTCGTTTGCTCCTGATGAATTTGACGAGTTTGTGGGGACGATTGGAATGTCATCTCTGGGGCTAATTTAAGAGACAGCTAGTTTATAATCTTTTAGAATAATGTAAATTAGATTTATAATTGAAATATAATGTGTAAAAAATTAACGGATATAGGACAGGGACGTAATAGGCGATACGTTTGGGCCGGGGCTGGTGAAGTGCATCCTCCCCCGCCGCGCACCGCCGCCGCCCGCTGGCCCGGCCGCGCTGCAAACTGGGTCGGATCGATACACGCACCGGCTGCGCTCCTTTCCACCTCCCCCTCGCCCCCGTCCCCTGTCCCCCGACCCGCGCAAGCTCCCCGCCGGGGGACCTTTGCGAATCAATCCATGTTAGAATGCCTGCAGAATTCTGTAGCGCTCTCTTGTTGAATACTAGGCACCATTTTGTGCTAAATGTGACTTGTGTTGGATATTAAAAATATTTCCTAGTGTTTTCTCTGTGAAATAAATGTTTGGAAAATGTTGCTTCAACAACCTGTTTTCGTCATAAGAAGATCCGTGTTAAATGGATATAGATATGGAAGGGAGACTGAAAGATATGAAAAGGTTAGCATTCGATAGCATTGATTTGGCACTTGGGAAATAAGAATTTTCATTTCACTGAAGTGCCAATTCAAGCGAGCTACAAAAGTTTAAGGTCGTTATGTCCTTGGTTTTATCGACTCATTTGTTAAATGCACGATCATTAGATTATTTTGATAATTGTTAAATGATATTTGCAAATGCAAAGGTCGTGAACATAATTGTATGTATGTAAAACAGGGGAATGAGAATCAGTAATCTCTCTTCACGGCTTCTGGGTCAGGGGCGGTTGGGATTGTTCTTTTTTTAATTAGGAAAGTGGGTTAGTCACTTTAGCTAACGTTACTCTATTTAAAAGTAAAGAAAAAATACGTCAGTATTTTAAGGCTATTTACCAGGTCAAAATCTGATGAAGTTAAATAAACTACAGTATGTTTTAATTAATATACAGTGGGCTTGTATTCTAAATTGACTAAACCAACATATTTCTTTAACTTAATATTTTAATAACTTATTATAACTAAAGGAACTGTTTCGCCTTACACTTGACAGGAACAAATATTCCAAGTTAGCGGCCAACCTTCAAGACTGAAGAGGCGTTAGAAGAAGAATTATGTTATAATTTAGAGTGCTGTGAATTTGTTCTCAAGTTCTCTTTATTAAATTTCTCAGGTGCACGGATTGCATGAAGATTAAAGTTTTGAGTTTTGAATGAGACTCGTTTGTGGTATAAAAGACTTTGCCGTAAGGAGCTTAACTCGCCGTTCTTTGACCGGATACCTGGGAACAGTCCTTTATAATTCCACATTTTAGAAATTTCTAGTCTAGGCTAGAATTTTCATCGATGTTGCTATATTAAATAGTCACTTTGACAACTAAAATTGTAGTTGCGTTCCAGTTCATCGTATAATGGCCTTTATTTTGTCTTGACTTGATGACAAAAGGAGTTATGTTTTATGGGCGTAAATTCCTTTGTGACGGCCTGGAGCCTAAACAACTGAACTCACTTTGATGAGTGAGGTGTTATTTGATTGGTTTTTTCTCTGGATTGTTATAGAGAGTGTGTCATAGTTAGTGGGGTTTTTGGTTTTTGTATTAACAAGTTGTGTGATTTTCTTTCTTACTGCCACACACAAACTCGGTAATTGGTTACTAAAGGGTCTCTCTTAGTGTAGTTTAGTATGAAAAATCTGATTCTAGGTGTGGCGTTTCAAATCTGTAATTTGAAAAAATAACAGTAGAAAAGTCAACCAGAATTGCTGAAGGCTACCTTGAACTGTAACTGTACTTGAGTTAAGGTAAATTCGTTATAACAATAGCCCTTTCAAAATATTTTTAAACGGCCCCTAAACAGTTAAGTGCTCTAGACCACACCAAACTAAAAATGATTTTTTTTAAAGGTGCGACAATACAATTTAAATTAAAGATTATATAAGCGCTCCAAATGTAGATGCATGGTCTCTGCCTACCTCTTTGCGTTACGGGTGTGATTTTATGTATATTTATAAGAATTAAAATATTTCCTGGACAATTATATTCAAACAAATGTATAGATAAAATCATGAATGGACTTATCATCTCGGATTGTTTCGAAAACGAAAGTGTCATCGACCTGGTGATCTTCAACCTTTGTCGGACGATAACCGTTTAGTGCTTCCTACCACCACCAGTTGGCGCCAGTTATTGGTGTGGCAGGAATGGTTTTTGCCACATTCTTACGATTTTTTTTTATTTCAATGAGAAAATTGTACTAATATATAAATTAGTGAGTTATTACGTCATTTCGCGTTGTTTATATAAATTTATTATACTTCTGACATATTTAGTTCTGTCGTGTTTTAAATCACCCTTTAAACTGGTACCAGCTGTCGCCCGCGAATCTAACCGCGCGCAATTAAAAAAAACTATTGGTCATAGCGTAATGTTATATAGCCAAAAGCCTTCCTCTATAAATGCACTATCCAACAAATAAAGAATTTTTCAAATCGGACCAGAAGTTCCTGAGATTAGCGTGTTTAAACAAACTCTTCCGTTTTATAATATTAGTATAGAATAATTGGTGACACTTAATAATTATAGATTTTTTATTTTTGCTTTCATGTTCTAAGCAACAAAACGCTTACATTCTTGCGTCTAGTATATTGTTACTCAACATCTAAACAGTTATCTGAGTATGCAAATTGCTTCTCGTTTACCATATTTATTAAACAAAATTCGCCTTAATTTGTACAGAAATAGAGTTTAAATTGCTTTGTAGATAATGTGCGTTACTATTTCATTTCCTAGAAAGGTGATGAGTAGATTGTAGTGTTGATGTCCGGCTTGCTACATTTAAATAATTTTATGTTGTATAAGATTAACACGTCTAACCGTCGGTTTCTGAGACCTAAATCTCCGTTTAAAACATTTTTATATGCGTTTTGTGTAAGATAATGACGATGTTTTATCTATACAAAGATTTTAGTCTCAGAAACCTACAGAAAATGGTGATAAATGCGAATGTTTCGATGAATGGATGGATGTATATTTGTTAGTAGGTATCTCCAAAACGGCTGCATGGATCTCGCTGAAATTTGGCATAGATGTAGAACATAACCTGGACTAACAGCTAGCGTATTATAAAAGTCCGACTACCCTCAAAAAAAAGCTATGCCAAATTATAACGCAGAATAAAATTGATAGAATCAAATGTTTCTCAAAATTGTCGCAATCTCTGTCTACCCCTTTTGGTTACATGTCTGAGTTATATTGTTAAAATTTCAGTGATTGATTTAGTAATTATGAATGTAGTTTGCGTGTTTAGTTAACTATCTTGCATTACGTGAACTATGGGCGTGGCTGGTTGCAGTGCCGGTCAATCGATTTTCGCTATGACGTTGTGCGCGTACTGCATGTAATCTTGTCTTCTCTTGTCGTCTCTTTCTCCCAACAATCGAACTTAATGTCGCTAGTCTTACGATCCTTAGTGTAGATTTAATATCTGAAATCAACAATTAAGTAGGTTTAACTTTGAATGCAGTTATACAAATAGTGGTTGAAATGATATTTTGTGTATATTTTACACGATTCTTTGTTTCTTGATTTGATTTAAAGTTGACTTTTTTATTAAATATTGTAAATAATTCTTAACTGTATCGTCACTTCATCTTTTAACATAAACTTAAGTTTAAGACTTAATTGTTGACTACGTAAAAACCTTATCTGCAGCCTAAACAATGGCTACGGTGTTTACAAATTATAAAGTTTTGTACACACTTATGATAAATTATTACCATAATATGCCACTACTAAAATGCTCATCCAACTCTCAACAGACTAATTCATACTTTAACACTAAAGTGTTCAAAACTCTTGAGTGAACCTAAATTAAGGAATGTTTAGTCGTTCATATATCAATAGGCAAGTGGGATCGTGGTCGAACGCTAGCTTGTTCAAAAAAGAGCTTACATGGTCTATCTCTACTTAAAAACCTACAATGGTTCATAGGAGCACATTTGTCATTTTGTTTTCTCAAAACAAAATATCCAAATCAAACATGCTTTTTTATTTTTATATCATAAGGTGGCAAACGAGCGAGCGGCCATCTGAAATCGCTGAAATAGCGAAGTGACCGTTGCCCATAGACAGGCAATTGCATATGCGTTGCCTACCTTTAATCGACGAAGGAAAGGATGCACAGAGAGAAAATATTTTCCCTTTCGATGCATCCTCTCATCCGGAAAGTCCACTTCCACTTCTCATCCTTTTCTTATAAGAGAAAGGGTGGAAAGGAAAACAATACTAAATTAGGCCTCCGGGACGCACACTCATCAGACGAAACGCGGAATTGCTTCCACTTGACGCCTGTCTTCTGTGTGGTCGTGGTATTTCACTTTTCCAATTCGTGCGAAGATGTTAAAGCGGGCTCTACCACTGTTAAGATAATAATACGTTTTGTTAATTCAAAAATCAAATTAACCGCATTACTCTACGTCTATGACACTCAGGGGAAGAATACGAATCGTATAAAACCTCGCTGTCCGAAATCAGTTTAGTAGTTTCAGTTATAGGCTGTTACAATGATCATACATAATATTTGTATACTTCATATCTATGCCCGCGTTATCATTTCCTTCCGGTTTCCTAACGCGATAATTATGTAAATCCATCATTTAAAACTGTCAAAGATATAATACTAGTATATATATGTATTTATATATAATTATTATATAAATGGTGTTTAATTTTGTTGAATAAATTTGATTGTTTGAATGAGCCTTTTTATTGTTACGTAATGTCAAAAACGCCCGAATCGATTTGAGTAAAATTTAGCATAAAGATTCTTTCGGTTCGGTCTGGGCGCATAGACAATTTAGCTCTGAAAATGTTTGATTCCCGTGCTGATAACGCAACGGATTACTCTGGTTTTTTTTTTTAATAACGAAATCGAAGCAACAGTATTAGGTCATCGTGATGGTTATATACGTGTATGTTCTGTAATACATAATGATTACAGTATATAAGCCTCTAGACCTCGGCATCCCTAATCCGATGTAATGCTCGCTCGGTAAGACCCGGGCAAGGTCGCCATGTAATGTCAAGGAGTTGAAGATGCAAATACTTTAAATACCAACATATTTTCAATAATAATGTCAACAAGCGATTTAAACTATAAAATAATAGGCATTGAAATCATTTTTTTTTATTTATTCATCTTTGAATGGAAATACATTCTTGATAGTTGTGGTCTTAAGATTAAAATTGATTTAAGAAAAGATTTGCTCATAATAATGTTTATCGATACTTTTTTGTTACTATTTAATATGTTTGTAGGTGGTGCTAGAGGTAGCTCACCGCGTGGACCAAGAGGGCGTGGTCGCGGTAGACTCCGTGGTAGAGAAGTTGATCTTCAAGCCCCAGGACGTGGTGTCTATCCGCGCCAAGGACTCTGACCTGGAGTACGCCACGCACGATGTGTTCCAGACTGATACGGCCATTAGCAAGTTTAATGGTCAGTATTGTTACTAATTACACCGATGTAACGAAAAGAGTTACATCTCTTATGGGATGTCTGACTTGTAACCATTTTCGTGGTATTTCTTAATTTTGCAGCAAACTAAGTACTTTGTATGAATGTTTTTTATAATTAAGAGATCAAATTTGAGTGAATTTTGGATTTTAATTTTGTTGATGCAACAAAAGACTAAAGTAAGGAAGACCAAAAATATATGAAGACGAGAAAATTTTTAGTAAATAATTTTAGACGCAAATTTATAACTACGATATTCTTGAGTTTAAATTTCGGTCAAAAGGAACTCTTTGAAAAAAAAGCAATATAAATTTGTACAAATGTTGCGGCAGTGGAAACTAGATAATTATGCTATTATATGTTTTGTTATTAGGCAACGGTCGTACAGCAGAAGAGCGTCACTTAGAGCCGTGGGACGGCTGCGACGGTGAAGCTGGGGACGCGCCATCTCTGAACGGCGACGCTCGTCTTGACGAGCTGGAGCTGGACCACCGCGCCAACGGCTGGGACGCCAACGACATGTTCCGCAAGAACGAAGAGGTGTACGGTGTACATAGCACCTATGACCACTCGCTGGCAGGGTACACGCTGCCCCTGCAGAGGAAGGACACGCAGGATTACAGGTACAAAACTAGTTAATTAAATCGATGTTATCCTATTTGGGAAAATACAGGAGAACAAAAAAAAATAAACAGTCAATAATTAGTATTATTGCCCTTAACCTAGTCTACGTCGAGATGTTGCAATCGAGATATACTAAATGTACAAATTAAATTAATTCCATTTATCAATGAAATTGTTTGTGCAGAGATGCCGAGGCTAAAGCGGAGGAGATAGCAGCTGAGATAGAGAGCACGCCGTCATACAAGGCGCGCATCGAGCTGGAGAATGGCGACGAGGAGGAGCGCTTCGCGGCCGTGGTGCGTCCGCAGGACGGACAGGCACCAGGCAAATATGTCATACCTAACAAACGGAAACATTTGCAGGTAAAATATACATGCAACCAGTAAAATATAACAGTTCATTGTGGACAATGATCATTTTACAATGTATTGTTAAAAAAAAATCCATCCGAATGCTGTATTAATTATGAGTAACATGGGCCATATTTAATTTATTTATCTATTATATGAAATTTTTCAGTCACAATGTTAGTTGTGCTATATTTAAATGCCGCGCGGACGGAGTCGCGGACAACAGCTAGTACTTTTATTTATTTCTTAGACTTAAATATTATTCTCCAGGGTGGAAAGCTAGTGAAGCCATTGTCAGGCAACGGCGGCGGCTCCTCTCCTGGCAACGGACCGGGCAGCGGCAAGCCCGGCAACTTCCCGCACCCCGGACACCCGCAGCACCCCGCGCACGCCCAACACGGGCCCCACGCGCCCCACGTCCCGCCCAAGGATAAGGAGCACCGCCCCCCACGGCACCACCTCACGCCCCCCTCCGACCGACGGCTGGATGACTCACCGGTAAGTCAACTAAAAATAATATACGGAAATACCGGCGAACAAAATCAAAGCAAAGTAAACTGATAAAAATATTTGGCTTTTTCTAGTTCTGTTGAGATAAAATAATGTATATTTTGTTTTCAGTCTGGTGCGAGTAATGGCGGGCTCCCGAGTGGTGCGGGCGGCGCCGGCAACAAGAGCTACGCGGCTCAAGCGGGCGGGTACCACGCGCCTCCGCCCTTCCCCCACCATGCACAGTGAGTTATATGACACACTATGACACTATACACCAATGCACTACTTATAAGATTTTATTAATCAAGTAAATTGTTAAAATTATTCCGATATTCCATTTCTTAACTATGTGATATGTAAAATATGTGTGTGTATTATGTTCCAACAGGCCACAGACAGGCAAGATGAATGGTGATCCCAGAGCGCCGCCTCTCGCCAGGCAAGGCTTCCCGTCGCACCACCATCATGTGAGTTGCTGTCTTATTGTCTACACATAAGTTACATTTTTGATTGACGTCAATATTCACCGATGATAAATCCTACGTCTTTATTGGTCTCTAATTTTTTGAAATGTATGCTTGTACTTTGTTAACAGAATGCAGTACCCACGGAGCCTCGCGGTAGACCGCAAGGCCCGCCAGAGCCTCGTGAGCCCCGAGAACCTCGAGATCCACGTGACCTACGCGATCCCCGTGACTTACGGGATCACCGTGACTTACGAGACCCACGTGACCCGCGAGATCCCCGCGACCCACGTGACCCGCGTGATCCTCGTGATCCTCGTGACCCTCGTGACCCACGTGACCCTCGCGACCCGCGTGACCCTCGTGACTCACGGGAGCTGCGCGAACCTCGTGAGCGACGCGCAGATGAAGTGCAGGTGAGTATATACAATTATGCTATGTTTATAGTACTAATTGTAGCGTCTTATTTATATTTGAAATGCGAAAGTTTGGATGTATGGATGTTTGGTGGTCGAACGACACGGTAGTATTGTATAAGTAAAGGCGTATAATTGAAAGTCTTATTGCCTCACTGAAAATCTGTATCTGTCTCTCTTTAGTGTATATATTGTGACATTCTTTCTTTTTTCCCCAGGAGCTCCGCAAGTTCGGTCAGGACTTCAAGCTGGTATCCTCTGGTGCTCCGGCGCACCAGCAGGCGCAGCAGCCGCATCCGCAGCACCCACAGCACGCACCGCACCCGCAGCACGTGCCCCACCAAGCTCACCAGCCTCACCAGCCCCAGGTCAACCCACAGCCACCGGTATGATATGTCTGCATTACTACATTACACGATAAAAATAAATAGACGGAATAACTAAAAATATAGGAGAATCTATGTTGCCAGTGATGGAGTGGTAATGAAAGTTTGTCCATTCACCAGATTCTTCAATGTATAATAGTATTATACTAAATTGTTTAATGTGTTAGCAGCTGCCGCCGCCAGCGCCGAGCCCGCCCGAGGTGTCAGCCAACGTGGGCGCGCCTTCCGACCCGCTGCCCAAGCGCGAGCGTCCGCCGAAGCAGCACACACCGCCCGCCGCACACAAGGTCACTACTGCCTCTATATTAGCCCTTTCCTACACAAGGCTACGTTAACTATCGAAACTAGTGTGGTTGCATGACGCTCCGTACACACAATTAAATCGACACGAGTCTTCTATTCAACGGAGACTACATGTCAACTGTAGATTTACTCCGCCATCTTGAAAATTGGAGATACTTTTCTCACGACGATTTTGGCAAACAAGTTGCGAACAACTGGCGATAGCAACAAAAGAATAATGTCGGAGACGCCATATCTATGATATTGTATTGCAGAAGTCTACGACGAAAATTGCCGGGTTTCGAATATTTATATCGACACTCAGAATTTATTATGACTATTTAAAATTTAAGAGTCACTTAACGACTTTGAATGTAGGGTTCAGTATATTAATTGATATTTATTGTAACAGCCACCACCAGTACCAAAGCCAGAGGAGCCGGTGTCCGATGAGCAGTCGCCATCATCCTCGTCTCCGCCGTCGTCTGCCTCGCCCGGCATCGACCGCGCTAACGCCACACTCAAGAAGTCCACTCTCAACCCCAACGCCAAGGAGTTCAACCCCAGCGCTAAGCCCTTCACACCGCGCAGCCCCAGCACACCCAACCCCAGCCGGTAACACTCAAATATCTTTAAATTTGTCATCGTCGTCTTCCTGTCGTTTTCCCTAAGGAGCATCGGCATAGTATTGACTACATTACGCATGTTCTCTTTTCCATCTTCATAGATTTTCTAGTAATAATAATAATTAAAAAGTAAAATTTTATTGCTAAATACAAAATTATTTTTTTTTTAATACGAAAATGTAAATAATTCTCGTCTCTAATCCTATTCTCGTTCACACCGTATTCTAATATAAAGAACGCGGTTAAGGGAAAAGGCATTTTGCAGGGTAAGGGGAATTTATTATAAAGGAGTTACGTAATTTTTCATGTATATCTTGTTCAATAAGGTAGGCAATACTTATTACTTAGTGTTACTTAAATGATTAAGTGTTTGATTATGTGTATGTGTCGTCAGTCCGCACACGCCGGGCACGCCTGTGGGCATGGGCGTGGGCGTGGGCATGGGCCTCAGCGGCGTGGGCGTGATGGGCGCCGGCGTCAGCTACGTGCCCGCGCCGCATCCGCCCCCACCGCACATGGTACGTACACACACTGACACACGCTGTATACACCTTCTTGCAACTATTAAGTATATTTTTTCTTCAATAATATACAGTATGATTCTAATTTTAAATCAGAATGACCTTGAACTGATAATGTATACATAAATTATAGTCTTGATATTCCATACATCAAGTTTAAATTATAACAAGCGCCTCTGACTCAAAGGTTAAGCTTTTCACTTGTAATATGCAGGTCTTGAGTTCGAATTCCGCCAAGTAACAATTTTTTTTCGACTCATGATTTACATATGTATATTTATTCGACATTCTTACGGTGAAAGATCTGGGGTAAAATTCAAAGTTATGTATGAAGTCAACCCACACTGTCATTGACTGGCCTAGTTACTCCTAACTTAGGGTAGTCTCCGTGTTGATGATGATGATAACTAATAGAGTATTGTGTACAGTTCGCGCACCAGGTGGCGGCAGTGCCTGCGTACGCGATGGTGGCCGCAGCTGCAGCCGCCGCGCAGCAGCCGCCCGCATATCTGCCACATCCACACCCCGTGAGTACATTAACCCCCACCCCCCACCCCCACCTCACACACACACTGATACAACCCCAGCTAATTGGGTATAAAGTAAAACCATAAATATGTTTTTATTTTAATTTTTAAATGCCGTAAGGTAAATATTTAATAAATATTTCTATAAGCCGACTAATCGTTGATTTCTGAAACCAAAATTCTTGGAACAAAACAGATATAAAATATTTTATACAGAAGTTTTGGTCTCAGAAACCAACAATAAGATATTATTTCTTTAGTGGATACTAGGTACCATAGGTACGAAATATAATTAAGAATGTATAGAGTTGGTTAGTTGGGTTAAAGTATGAGTGGGTCTGGTGACAGATGGAGATGAGTTGCGAGTGCCGGCAGTACGGGCCCCCCATACTGCTGGTGCCGGACAAGCGGGACAGACACGACACGGTGAGCCGTGTGCCCCCCACATGACACCACATGCCACCACGTGCCCCCAATAACACAATAACTATAGCCATAACTAAACTGCAAGTTAAATAACTGCTTAGTGAAGTTTTTTCTAACTAAACATACAATAAAACCTCAATTACTCGCTATTTAATGACGCCTAAGGCTTTAGGCCTCTATTCGTTCCTACCGTTTTCTTATATGAGAAGGGGAAGTGGATTTGATGGAGAAGGGTACGCATAGGAAAGGGAAATATTCTCTTCCTGTACGTCTCTGTTAATTAAAGGTTACTGCAATTGCTTATGGTCCATGGGCAGCGGTTGTTTCGCTATTTCGGCGAATTAAGGTACCAGTTCGGTTGTCAATTTCTAATATGTAAAATCCAGTTTAGCAGTATTAACACGTTAGCTGCCGGAATGATTTTTCGAAAAACGAATTTTGTTTTTTTTTTTTAATTTTGCCCAAAACCATCTGAATGGGGCCTTACGGGTCACGCTGTATACAACAATTCGATTATAAAGCCACAGCGAGGTGTTGAATGAAAGTATGGCTTGTCAGACATATAGTCCGACACGGCAGCTAACGTGTTAATTGATTTTTGCTACAGCAGTTGCAATTTTTCTTTTGGATATGTTAAATTTGAGACTAATAAATCCTGATTGAAAAATGTTTGTTGTTTTGAAGAAATACGTAACGAGTTTTTCTAGATTTTTTTTACATTTAATAAAATTAACAATATTTTTGGAATGGTGAATGAATATTAATGTCGTGTCGTTTTCTATCTAATCTTATAATTCTATGAATGTACTAATTAATCTTTGACCTAACACTATCGAACCTATGGAGATCTATTGGTAACTAGTTCTCGCCCGCGACTCCATCCAAATATATGTATGTGTTCTTCCAGACTATCTTTTACATCTATACCAAATTTCTACGCAGGTCAGGTCTCTTTGGAATATTTTTTGTCTTTCTATTATGGTTTGAAAAACCGTTTAATCTCTTTTTTTTTGTTTAATAGAATTGTGAAATTGTTAATGACGTCTGTATTAGTTAATTTGCTGATGTTATAAATTAATTAGCGACCAGTACATCTAAACCAACACCCAATAACCTATCACCATAATTCACACCACAATCATAACCAATCGCCCTTAACTTATAGTAGACTTCGAGCCCCTCAGTGGTGATGATGATGACATCTAAACCCTGTGGGTTTTTAGTACTGCTGTCTAACCAATCTTTATATATATAATTCTTCTGTGAGTGTGTATGTCACTGAACTTCTCTCAAACGACTGGACTGATTTTGATGAAATTTTTTGTGTGTGTTCAAGGGGATCTGGGAATGGTTTAGTTTCACAATTTTGTCCGCTGGACAATGTTTTTTTAATTAATTTTTAATTTATTAGTAGTTGTTGATTTTGGAATGTTTTACATTGGATCCGACAGACGGCACTACCATCGCAGTGTCAAATTGTCAGACGTCTGTCGGGTCCGCTAGTATTATGTTATGTAAAGATTTTGTATAATAAAATAAAAAAAGATACATTCTAATAAACATCTATCCATCTAAACTTTCGCATTTATAGTATTAGTAAGATTGGAAAAAGCCTATCAGACGTAAACAGTTACATGTCTTAAAAGTTATATTAAGAGTTCTAACTGTTCCTTTCGAAAAGGCCGTGAATATCAAATGATATTTTAAAAAGAAATTAAATCGTAATTTTGTAATATTTTGTATTAGAATATATTTATAACATGTCTTGTATTACCGATACATAAATGAAAACCACTAATATAATTATTTTATAACAAATTAAGCGTGGATTTTCACACGTAATAAAATCGTTTCGGCAGTGGAAACTCACAGTTAAATAACCTCTTCGGGTGATAATTTGACAAATTTTTCCGACATCGACCACAATTTGGCCGCCAAATCTTTATCCTTGGCTTTATGTGACATGCAACTTTCTTTGCAGTCTTCGTAATAACGTCCACTTACATCGTCACATTCATCTGCAACTGCCAAGTAAATAGAGGTCTGAGCTCCTTCTTCTGGACTCTTGAAGAATGTGTACAGCACGAGGCTCCTCATCTTCTCCAAGAGTGTAGAACTTCTATATAACGAGGTGTTCACTTGACCAGGATTTAGACTGTTCACCACCACACCGGAACCCTCCAATCTTCTTGCTAGCTCATTACTGAATAGTATATTGCATAGCTTACTGTTAGCATACGCTTGGAAATAGCTCCCTGTGTTACTCCAGTTTTCTGGCACATATCCAAGTTTGTGCAACGCCGACGATACGATAACGACACGACTAGGAGACGATTTTTTTAATATCGGTGTTAATAAAATTGTTAAAAGGAAAGGACCGAAATGATTGACTTGCATATCCCTCATTATTCCATCTTCAGTTTTAGTACATATTGCTCCGGCGTTGTTTATCAATACGTCCAATTTAGCCTCTTTACTTGTAAATTCATTAACAAATTCCCTAACAGATTTCAAAGATGATAAATCTAATTTTATATATCTTACGAATTTATTTTTTGTTTTATTTATAATTGTTTCCACTGCTTGCTTACCCCTGGTATCATCTCGACATGCGACAATAACTTTAGCACCTCTTCTAGCTAAATCCAATGCTGTCTCGTAACCCAGTCCCCTACTAGCGCCAGTCACTATCACCACTTTGCCTGTCATTATATTCCCACTGGAACATTTGCCGGTTGTCAGTTTGTTGAATATTTTTATTATAACCAATGTTAATAATAACCATAGTAACCACATTTTTAAGTGTAACGAGAATATTATATTTTCATAGTATGAAATTTACGAGTATATTTCACTCGATATGTAAATTGACGACTTAATAAGAATCATATCGCAGTGAGACTGATTTCATTATCTAGTTATTGCTATAAACCCAATATAATCATGTTATCCTGGTTTGTCTGCAAAGGAAACAATTTTTTATAATCCGTACTGTATAGTAGCAAATAATAAAAAAAAAACATTAATTTCCTTTTGGTAGTCAAAATGTAATAACGACATAATAAAAGTAGCTATAGCTCGCGACTCCATCTGCGCTATTAACTACTAATAAATACTATTACTACTAATAATAACTAATAAATTAAAAAAGTTTCTAGACAGACGGACGAACAACAAAGTGATCCTATAAGAGTTCTGTTTTTTTCCTATAAGGTACGAAACACGAAACTATAAACCCTAAATAGAATGTGAGGTCTTCAAGACTTTGTTCTACATCTATGTAAAATTTCAGCGATATCCGTTCTGGAGATACCTTCTAACAAACATACATCCAAACATTCGCATTTATAATATTAGTAAGTATTGGTCATATCGATAACTGTCAGTTATACTTTACCATTCTCTCGCGGACTTGAGTGGGAAGCGAATTTAATTCTTTGACTGTACAAGGTCCAATATAATCATATTTTATGATTTATTGATATAATTAATATGTTAAACGCAATAAATCATACGCCGTTATCATTCGCCTCGTCCGATACGCGGTGACCTTGACGAATATCTTGCCATTGAAATTATCAGCTGGTTAATTTTACTAGTTTTTTAAACAGATAAAATTAACCGGATCTAATCGTTTTTATAACTAACAAAGTTACGTTTTATTGTCGATAATTATCGTTATAATTTTTCAATATTAGGTTTCAGTGAAATCAACCGTAATTAAAAAAAGATGACATATTAAGGTCTTTTAATGTTTAAAAACTACAAGAAAAATCTCAATTTCTTTTAAGTTGTGTTCACGTTACTTTGATGGTGTTTTTGCTACTGCAAAGTGAACCTTAAGCTATTGTTTTTAAGTTTATTTTCCTACAGAGATTAATTTAGAGGTTATAAAATGTTCCAACTAACTCATTCAATTGTTTGCAGAAAATTTTGTTTGATATTTGAATGAAATTTGTGTGTTTTTATTGCGTTTTATTTTAACCTAAACGTGAAATAACGTCTAAAGTAGGTGTGTAATGTATAGATGTTTGATTTCCAGTTGTATGGAGCCGCTATGGGGGGCGGGGCGGCGGTGGCGGGGGCGGCGGGGCAGCACGCGCCTCTGCCCGCACAGCAACAGAGAAATTTCAGAAAAGGTTATATTTGAAGCCAAATATATAATGTTTCTTTTATATTTAGTGGCTGTATAAACTAATTGCTAAAGTCAAAAGTTGTTATCACTAAGGGTAATGTAACTATTACTTAAATGTAGCAATCTGAGATGTTTAATGTTAATTTAAACATTTATTAGTATTGACTTCTGATAGTAAATCAATACTGAAGGTTACCCTTAGTGACCAAATGTCGACGTATAACATGCCAGTAAAAGTATTCTTAAGTGAAAATTTAATTAAACTTAATGAAGTAAACATTTAACATTTTTTTATTAGTTGGTGTGGGTTCTGGTGTGCAAGTTGCGGCGGCAACTGGGCAACCGCTGCTGGCGCCGGCACCCATGCAGCCCTTCGTGCCCTACCCGCACCCCCACCCCCACCCGCACCCCGGACACCCCGGACACCCCGCGCACCAACCCCAGCCAGCGCTGCAGTACCAGCACATGGTGAGTCACATATTGTCTTACAATACCTAACTGTCAACAACAAACAGAAATAATAAAAACATATAAATTCGATCAATAAGTTATAACGAAAGGCAATAGTTAGTGTTTTAACTAAATAATATTATAATTTTAGATGAGAATGTACGGCGGAGGCGTGGCTCCCGGCGTGGGCGTGGCGGCCGGCGTGGGTGTCGGCGTGGGCGGCGGGGTGGGCGTGGGCGAGGGCGCGGCGTACGCCCCCCAGGCGCCCTCACCAGCTGCAGCCTCCCCCGCGCTGTACCCGCCGCCCTCGCCCGCGCACACCCCCCACCCCCATCCGCACCCGCACCCACACCACCACTACCAGCAGCCGCCATTCCAGGTATTCACTGAAGAATATATGTTCAATCAATTGCCCGCAAGTTATATGCCCCTTTTGAAGTGAACACGGTCATCAACTGTGTTCACTCCGAAATAGTAGATTATTTAATGAATATAATAAATTGTAGCGATACTAATGTTGCTCTAGTAAGTGCGGGTAATAATAAAATGAAGGTGTTCTATTAACGAGTATAGGTACTGTGCCCGCTGATGGGCCCGGGCTCCCATCACCACCATCATCACCATCCGCACGTGGCCTATCTCAACCACGCGCCGCCCACAGCCTCGCCGCCGCACCACCCACACACGCTACAGGTGATTAAATGTCTCTCATCATAACAGGATGTGTTTCTCTTTAACTGCGCACTTAGATAAGTGGTAGTAATGGTTACTTTAATCCTTTAGTGTAGATTTTTCTATCTACAATAAGGGTCTAATTTAGTAGCCATTTAACGACTCTAAGTAGTGATAGCATATGTAATTAAAAAAAATGTTTGTTTAATTTCAGCAACAAGTGCTGATGCCGCCTCAGCACCAGCCGAGCGGCGGCGGTTCGTCCACACCGGGCGGGCACACGCACCCGTAACGCGCACGCCCGGCCCCGCCCCCACCCCGCC